GACTGAGGAAATCACGAACCGGAATAGCCTGTTTAAGATTTGAACCCGGGCTCATATGAAATCGAATCGGAAGCAGTACAAACTCGACCATAACTTCCAGATTAACCCTTGGAAGCCTATTGGGGAAGAGATGATAGAGGGAGGGGGAAGAGAAGGTGCAGGGGGGATAGTGAAAAGCTGAATCCTTAAGGGGGGAGATGAAACATACACGGGCTCCGTTACCAATCACTGTCAGCTGGCACTTCAGATAAATGTATGTACATTGGACAGAAGGTAAAGCGGAGGGAAGTGATGAGCATAAACCAACGGGAAGTGGACTGTTGTGGAAAGTCGAGCAAGATTTTTACTCTTCGACTGGAATTTTAATACTGATAAACAGGAGCTGCATGCAAAGCGTGTAAGTATACAAGTGGAATTTTTGTACCAACCCAGCATTTGCTCCAGGACAGAGGAAAGTCTTCATCGAGTTGGCTGGTCGCAGGACCTCCCGGATGCGAACTGACTTCCAGCCAGTAGACCGGCAATAGAATACGCGAACCCTAACGTTAGTCCCTATCTGGCTGTTGCTTTATTTAGACATGAGCGTACATAGTTTGTAAGACATCTTTGCAATCCAGCTGCAATTGTCAGTTCAACTCCTATAAGGAATAAACTGTGGGTCAAACTTTAACTTTACAGGTTAAAAAAATATTAAAAACTCGGTTCCTACCTCACAATGGACACAATTCTTTTAAATCAGACAGCGCGTACGACTACATATGCACATTCTGGGGAAAATGCAGAGATCTTTAACATTAAAGCAGGTGGTATGTATAATTATCACTGTGACTTAAAAGGTTAACATAATTACTGTATTAAGTATTATCAGTAGAAGCCGGAATAGCTCAGTCGGTATAGCGACGGAACATGGGCTGGACGGCCGTGGTTGGATTGCCGGCAGAGGCAAAACTTTTCTCTTCTCCACACCGTCCAGACCGGCTCTAGGGCACACTCAGCCTCCCATCTAATGGTTACCGTGGGATCATTCCTCGGAGGCAAAACAGCCAAGGCGTGAAGCTGATTACTGACCTCTTATCTAGTGTCGAAGTCGAGAACAGTGGAGCTATACCGCCACTTCCCCTTACGTCTTCATGGCAAAGTGCTTCACTGATTATCTTTAGTTGCTCCCACTTAGAGCATACGGCATTCGTGAAACGCTTCGTTTTAATTCAGTTTCTTAATTTTAGAGTCTGTAGGACTCCTTGGACGGGGGATCAGCTCATCATAAGGTCGCTACCTGTACTCAGAATATCATTAGCACAGAATAAACGCAGACAACTATGCCTTGAGTGGGATTCGAACTCACGATCCCAGCGTTCGAGCAAGAGAAGACAGTTCATGCCTTAGACCGCACGGCCTCTGTGATCGGCTTTCATTGGAGATTACCAATAGAAAAGCATGATAAATATGACGTATTCATGACGCACACTACGCTAGGGGATATTCAATTACTCCCAGTGCCACCGTAGCGTGATGTTTCCTTGTCTTCCTTTGTTCCGAAATCGCACTGAACGCTGTTAAGAGTGGCATCCTGTTTCTTTCTTACGTCAGACGTAGGGGGATATTGGTGCTGATGGCCACGCAAGCAGCAAGTTGCATGCCGTGGTCAACCCGGCTGTCAGCTCGAATTCACTACGAGCATGCGATTCTTCTCCAACGGACTTTGATCTCAAAGAGAAAGTTACGAGACATGTTTCATTTCCCGAGTGTGAAGGCTCACGTGGTAAGCTGAGAGTTTATGATCTTGCCTCAAGGGGGGTAGTGAGAGGCATACGTTCATTACGGAGAAAAAATGGCAGAAAAATATCCGGCTCTATGGGTTCGCAGGCAGTGCCCGCTTGTTCTTGCAGGTGGGAGAAAAGGTAAAGCGTTGGGAAGTGAAGAAGTAAAAACGTATGTAGCTGGAGAAAGTGAAGCGATAGGAAGAAGCAAAAGGTAAAATGGTAAAGCTGCCCCTCTGCTTAACTAAGCACTAGGCCATGAAGGCGTATGGGGAAGTGGATGTATAGATCAACATCTTTTTGACCTCGGCACTGGAGGTGAGTGGTCAGCTTCACGTCCCGGTTGCTCTTCCTCCGGGGAAAGACACCCCAGCACACATTGTATAGGAGACTGGGTGGGCCCCAGAGCAGGTCTGGACGACATTGAGAAGAAAGAATTCTTGACCCTACCGGGACTCGAACTTCGACCCCTCTGTAGTCCAGCTCGTAGCCAGTCGCTATACCGACTACGCTATCCCGGCTCCTTGTGGTAAAGGTAGGTGAGAGAGAAAGGTAAAACGTTGGGAAGTGAAGAAGATAAAGAATCATTGGTGGCTGGAGAAGGTAAAGCAATAAGAAGTGGAAAATATATTCATTACTACTAACTCTTTACCCTATCTCAAATCTATTCATAACAGAGGGACGAGCTTATCAGTTTCAGTTGCATCAAGTACGCAGCACCCCTCTCTCCGTACACACAACATTCCATTTCTGCCTCTTTCTGGTTACACCTATATCGAGGGCACTAGGGAATTGTGGACATGATTTGTTGTAAATTTCCTTTCAAATTAAATTCAGTAGGTAAGGCATCATAGTCCGGTCACGGTAGCCGAGAGGTCTAAGGCATGTACTGTCTTCGCTCGCTTGGAAACCGGGATCATGAGTTCTAATCCCACTCAGGGCATGGATGTTTAGTTTGTGTGTGTGCGTTTTCTGAGTTTGTGTGCAAGTAGAGGCCTTTCGACGAGCTGATCACCCGTCCAAGAAGTCCTACCGAATGCGTAAAATCTAGAAAAACCGAAGTGAACGGAGAAGTTCGTGGAGATAGGTGTAGGGCAACTGGGCCTGTAGTGCCAAGGGGGGGGGGAAGGCAGAAAAGTCGGGACCTACAAGGAGAACCCGGTTAAGATTACTGACGGAAATTACGCCTGTTTACTCTGAGAGCCATATGAAAGACACACGTCCACTCTGTGGACAAAATGGAGAGCTTTTTGTGTTAAAGCACGTGATGTATAAAGTTACCACTGTAATCTGAAGGGTTAATATTGAAACGTACACAGCTGTATGCGTATATTTCCCAAGGGATTTGTTTCCTATGAGCCATGTGCAATTGTTCTGAATTTCTATTGATATGATGGATAGTTTTCTAAGAAACTGCCACCTGCTGTACCAGTGTAACAAGTGACTGATGAAACGTGCTTGCCTGTAAAGGACAGCTTCATTGTTCTGATGATTTCCTAGGATTCGTGCGATAGCAGCGCCTCAATAGCCTGGCAACGGCGTGTTGGGAAACTGCACGAACAAACGAAATAAAAAAGTCTTATTGTGACTGTGACGACACGGGTAGTGTTAACACCTGTGTCGATTTCCGCCCACAAAGGAACCAACTTGTATTATAGTGTTAACATCGTATCATGTTATTTGAATATGAACATGGTGAAACAGAACATTCCGTGGACAACACCACACAGCTAAACATGGCGGTCCTGTGGGTAGCTCTTCTCCTTCATGGTTTATATATCGCGCTGGACAGCGAGTATCCTGACATCTTTCGTGATATCTTCTTCAGACCATCTAGACCAGTGTTGTGACAGTATACCATCTCAATGTAGGCCACGACCACTGCAGTGTTCTCTGCATCAGGGGCTCCCACAGCGGTAACTATATATATAAATTTCTTGAAGGATGTGAAGACGGGAAATCTGGTAATTACAGCTGTTTCAGAGAAACCTGCTACATGTATCTACTTTGGCTACTTTTCAGTTTCTTAATCTTATACACAATCGGTAGGACTCCTTGCATGGGGGATCAGTCCGTCGCAAGGACGCTACCTATATACAGAACAACACAAAAAAGGAGCAAACGCACACAGATATCAATGCTTTGAATGGGATTCGAACCCACAATCCCAGGGTTGGAGTGAGCGAAGGAAGTTCATGCCTTATACTGCGGGGCCGCTGTGATCGGCACCTGCTACATGTACCTTCACGAATACCTCGATAGGTATTTATCAACGTTTCGGAGGAACCCACAGTTTCCATCTTCAGGAAGTTATGTAGTGTAATCTGGTAGATCGTCACCAAAGTTTCGGTAAAAATCTGTCTTGAATTTAGAGAGAGAATAGGAGAAGGGGAGGTGAATGAAGATGGAAGTGTTATGTTCACCCGAAACGTTGATATTCTAGCAAGTTATATGATGTATATGATGTATCCCTGAAGATAATAATCACTATACATTATTCAATGGAAGCTACATACTGACCTTATAAAAGAATACACTAATCCGTAAAACAAACAAACAGATAACAGGAGAGACTAGGGTTCTCAAGCGGTGTTTTGAAGAGTAAATCCCTTTGGGTTTTAACACCGTGTGGTTCGGAGACAGCCCGAATTCCCCGAATATGCCATGCATGAAACCAGCATAAACAGGTCACAAGCTTTATGTACGGCGTCACAAGATCGTTCTCTTCAAATAAGCCTAGAGCACGTGTTAAGAACATATCTAATTGAAAGCAACTAACTCGAAGGAGCAGCTCAGAGCTGCCCAAGTACTGAATAAATCCCCTACCTTCGATGTGCCCTGAAGACATGTTACTGTTCTAATCCGGTCCAAATCAGCTCACCATATTTTTTTATATAGATTGTATTTAAACTCTGCTACGAGTATACCTAATCTAATGAAAATCGGTTTAGTGGTTCTCTGTTTGTTACATGCGGATAGAAAGCCAGGCAGATATGGCGAAGCGAATGGACGGATTTGAGCAACGCGACAAGAAATATCGTTAAATAAAGAAAACATCATACTGCGTACGGGTTCATCTGTCAGGCGCAGACCGCAGCGCCTTCGTAGCTGCGAGACCGGTATCAGTCACGCTTCGAAGCCACGCCTAGTACTGATATGCCTAGTAACACGAATACACGACGGAGAATCAGTAAATAGGTCAAAAATGAATATAAAATGTAAAATATATGATATTCTAACCTGGTAAAAACAACATTTATTTCTCGGCATGTCCTCCGCCAACATCGATACACTTGTCCCATCACTTTACCAGTGAGTCGAAACCAGCAGCATAGAAGCATTTTGGCTGTTGTCTCAGCCACTTCCGCACCTCCATTTCAACCTCTAAGGTAAGCCGCACACCGGCATGCGCCAAGACACGATGTCTGCGACATGAAGCAAAGAAAGGAGCACTGTTGAAACGAACGAGATTATGAAAACCACCACACACCGGTCTGAGCCATGATGCTGACGTCATTTCTTTGCGTCATGACGCAGCGGAACGATTGCAACCCAACTGCGAATCACTTTACGCGACAGACACATCCCAACGTAAACAGGAAACACCTCTTTATGAATATCTTTGCATTGTGTCCTTTGGTCAACAAAAAACGCAAAACAGAACGCTGCTCTTATGTGGTACACACCTCAAGCACGGTCGTCATTTTTACTATAGTCGCCAACCTCTGGACATGCGCATGCGCATCTGCTATCTAAACTGTTATGAACGGTCATGAAGCTGGACTGTGCTGCTACCTAGTGATACATATAGAAAACCAAATATATCCTTTACAGCTGTTTATCTTTCATTTAAGACATATTTACTAACTCTCCCTCGTAAAAAACTTGATTATAGAGTGTACTATATGCCATTTAAATGACAACTATGTTTCTCGGCTAACATCAGTGACTTTAGAATCGCTGGCCTCGAAAATGTTGAGAAAAAATGGTCACTTCACATGAAAGGGGGAAAGGGGGGGGGCACAGGCGAGCTGAAGTGACAAGCAGAGAGATCTTGCTGGATACACAAGAATTACTGAAATGCGGCATAACTCTCCTGTGTTCCGTGATATATAGGCAAGTGTTTTCGGGGCCGTCCGACGCTCGGACCGGGTTCGTGGCCCTTAAGACACCGTTCAGATGCGGACAAATGATACGAAAAGCGGGGTGAGGGGTAAGTGATATATCATGGCAGAGACAAAGATGGAGAATTGTGATGGTAAAGGACGCTAAAAGAAAGAAAAGGGATTGAAACGCGGAGGCAGGATTACTCGGGACAGACTGACGATAAAAAATGTGAACAAAGATTAGCCCCATGACGTCACAGGTGCAGTGTTGGCGCTTGGAATTGAAGGTAGGAAGAGTTGGTGTGAAGGTGGGATGGATTTTGCCCACAGGGGGAAAGCAAATAGGGATTTTGTTTTTAAAACCCTTTCCCCCCCCCCCCCATTTCCTCCTTGTCTCTCTCTCTCTCTCTCACTCCGCTTCACAACTCAGATTTTTTTCTGTTCACACACAATTTTCCAACCGAACAACTGCAACGTATAGTATCCCACAGAGAGAGAACTGTAGTGAAAATAAAATGTGTATAAACCATTTGGACTCTCAGCGAGATTATTAAAGGGCGAAAAGATTTACATTGTGATTCAAATTGGTGCAACAAACGTACCATTGATTCTGAACGAGAGGGCGTCCTTCCACCACATACACGCACACACAGTACATCTACTGGCCGTTGCGTCAACATAAAAACTGGATTACACGACCGAAATGTAATTCACTCGAACTTAAATGTGCCAGACGCATAAGAATTTCAACTAAGAAACTATTCGATTATGGACATCGATTAATCGAACATGCTGGTTCACAGTATTACAACACGATCGACTCTTGAAAATATCGTGGTGACTATATTCACCGTTTTCCCACCCCAGCGGCCCGGGTTCGATCCCGGGTCTGGTCAAGTGGGATTTGTGGTGGACAATGTGACGCTGGGGCAGGTTTTCTCCGAGTACTTCGGTTTCCCCTTCCAATCTTTATTCCACCAATTGCTCCACAATCGCCCTCACCTATTATCTGGGGCTGGTACAATAGGCCAGAAGTGGCAGCAGTACAAGGGACTTAGTCCCGCCCCACTAGAAGAAAACAAAATTCGCCGTTCGTTTCGACCTGAATTCTGCCCACCGAGTGTATTTATATTGTCACGTGTTTGGTGGTACGCGTGACGAGTATGACGGTTTCTACTTCGGAAGATTGGATTTATAATCAGTTCGGTTACACTCTCTCTCCTAATTACACTCAAAATACAGCGCTATCGCTGATTTGCACACTCTTAATAATTCACTGTTACACACACACACACACACACACACACACACACACTAGTCCTCTCCTAGTAATGCAATTAGAACACAGGAACTAGAGCTTCAAATCACTCCAAATATTACACATAATTAGTCTTCAAATCACATGCTCCATTCTTGTCCTTGTACTCTCAACTGCTGAACTCTCCTTGACTCTCTACTTTGTCACCGTCACTTAAAAACTGAAACCTGTTAAGTCAAAGTCAAAGTCATATTTGAACTGACGGTCAGTCAGTCAGTAAGTCTTGGTGTCGAGCCCCATCTGGGGCTCATGACCAGATATTTATTACTGTTTGGCAGTTAAAGTCTTGTTTTCGTGGGGCGCCCTCTCTGACGAGATGATGGGTTTGTATTTTGTATATGCTGTTGGCCCTTGCTAGCGTAGTCTTTTTCGGGTCCAATTCCCTTGGGATTCGTGACCATAATTTACTGTCTCAGATTTGAGATTTCCCTTTTCGTCGCCTCCTACGTCTCTCAAGGTCACGGTGGAAGTATTCGAACCCGCCTCCACACGGGTGTAACTGGGTAACCCCAGTTCTCTTTCCTATGACCCCTTAGATCGGATGGAAAACAGCCTCTTTTATTGTAGAGGAGTGTTTACCGCGAAGTTGCATAGCAACGGTCGCGGCACGAACTCCATAGAAAGCCAGTCACGTGATAGCCATCTCACCAGCACATTGGCGCGCTGACTATTGCCTAGGAAACGAATTATAAACATTCGTCCTATTGTTGAATGCTCTTACGCGACTGAAGGTTGTTTACAGGTGGTTTCAAAACGCTTTGGCCATCCACGTTACAAAACGTGACTATTTTCCTTCGTGGCTGAACTACACAGGAAAGGCGCAATGTATTCTTTGTGATGCACGAACTAAATTTTTAAATATTGCGTAGATGAAATATCATTGCTCTGGAAGCCCGGCCCCTTCCTCTTTCAAATTACCTCTTCAAATTACGCAATTCAGAATTAACTAGAAATAAAAAAAAAATCGGAGGCTTTCCATTCAGGGGTTCACAAAACTCACTAACTAACAAGAAGTAACAAAATTTTTCCTCGAAAAACAAGATTAATGACCACTGCACAGGTGCTGCAAATTTCCAGGCGTGAACCTCAAGCACTAGGCCGTCAGCCGATCTTCTCTCTTAACTGGCTTCAAAGGGTTAACCAGCGCCTACGGGTTAGTTATTTAACACTAGGGAACAGAAAGCTAGTTGACACGCTAGTTGTTGCTCAGCTACTCCATATATTCTCAGAATTTTATAAAATCCAAAAGCTCATTACCGTGTACACAAAAGCCGACTACTGTTCCTTGTCCTGAGCCAAAAAATTCCAGTCCACAACCCATCTTATTGTTTTACGATCCATTTTAATATTATCCTCTCTTCTACGCCTTATTGATGGTCATTCTTCGTGAAGCTTTCCTGCCAGAACTTTGAGGAGGTGTATAAGTGTATCCATCTGTGCTTTCTATGCAATGGAGTTTCTAGAAAGAAGAGGGGGTAGAATTTTTGTCCCCACTACAGCAAAATTAGCAAAACTGTAACGAGAGTTTAATTCTCAGCTTACACACTGCGCCACAAGATAAATTTGAGTTATAACCAAATCCACTCGCGTCGATTTAAAAAGTTTTATTTTCTCGCTAGACAGTAGACCGAGCTTATTGTGGCTTATTGTGTCTGTCTGGGGTCGACGAGGACTGGCCTTCTTTTGTACAAGGGTGGGATTCAGTGTTGTGAGTCTATTCTTACGCTTGCGTTAATACATTTTACAGCACAGGACGTTGAACTCAAGCAAACAGGTATGAACTCCAGCCTTACGAAATATGAAGGATTTACAATATTCAAATAAACGAGTTCGTACCTCACAGGAAACGCGTTACAAAGATCAAACGGTTAACTCTGTTTAAAGAAATAATCGCTGTTTACTGTGAGAATCATATGAAACAAATACAGAGATCAAGCAGAATGTTTCAAGCAAGTTATATACGTGGTAGAGTCATTAAGTTCGTGGAATGAGGTTCTATTGCATCATATTACAAGGTATTCACATACACTTATGCAGATCCACATCGGCCCTCAAAATAGTTGCCGTTGGCCGCTGTGCAAGTCTGCACGGAAGTGGATGAGACAGCAGTCAAAAGACTTCTAAACTGCGATGGGACAAGTGTATCAATGTTGGTGGAGGATATGTCGAGATATGTGTTTATTTTTCAAGTTTCGAATATCAAACGTTTTACGTTTCATATCCATTTGTGAACTATTTATTGACTCTTCCTCGTATATAGTCACAATCATCGATTTCTAATATTAAAAACGACATGGATTTGTCACATTATACCAAACGTTCTGAAAAGTCAGGGAAATTGTAATTTAGCTCATCTTTTCGTTTAATACTGTGGAAGTATTGTCAGTGAAGATACACGAGGTTTGGATTGGTAACTGGATTTGTTGGATCCTTACAACTCAAAACTTGAGATAACTACAACAGCTTCACTAGTTCCCGAAATTTACTATTCATTGTACCTCGCAATATGTCTTCTCAGCCTTCATTAGGCACTGCCTGGAAACGTCTCCCTAGCTTCCGTGTTCAAGCGCCTTCTGTCCTCACTGGCTGGAGTCTATCTCACAAGTCAGCTAGGCATTGTCTGGTTATAGTCTTCTAACAAGGGCGATTCCTCACGCCCTTGCAGCTCAAGCATTGCACTACCTAAATGCAGTTGGCTTCATCAGTCGGTCGGTTAAATCGATGCTGGCCTTCGCCAGCACAGGCATTCATCGGTTCAGTCTCCTCGAGATTCATGACCATGAGTTCTTTCTCTCCTAGACATGTACGTGTTTCAAAACTGGGCCTCTTATTCGATGAGGAATGTCGGTCTTTCTATGTAGGCGCTTCGTTTGTTCGCCGCAGTTTCAGCAGGAGTATATCCGCGCTGTCACGGCGTCCAGGTCACTGTGGA